TCTTTGAGAGAAAAACTCTAAAACCCTAAAAACAAAAGACTTGACGGTGTTTTCAATATTTCTATTAAATTGCCTTATCAGTCCTCGTAAAACATTAAAATGTTATTTCCACCCCATACAAAAAGTAATACTACTATTTGACCCAAAACAGATCTATTTACGATTTTTGCGTCTCTTTTCTCTATCTCCGATTAGAAATCTTCACATTTGAATTGGATCTCTCTCTCTTTTCTACAGATCTTTAACAATGGCGAATCCAATTCAAGAGGTATCATTTTTTGCATATTCGATGTAACGAAATCAATGGAGATAGATAGATTTGTGATTTTGTGTGTGTTTTGATGGCAGATTGTGGAGAAGCAAGTTTTGACGGTGGCGAAAGCTATGGAGGATAAGCTTGACGAAGAGATCGCGTCTCTTGAAAAGCTCGACGAAGACGATCTAGAGGTTTTGAGAGAGAAAAGGTTACAACAGATGAAGAAAATGGCGGAGAAGAAGAAACGTTGGATGAGTCATGGACATGGAGAATATTCCGAGATCCATTCAGAGAAAGACTTCTTCTCCGTTGTTAAAGCTAGCCAACGCGTCGTCTGCCATTTCTACCGCGAGAATTGGCCCTGTAAAGTATACACATTCATACCATCTTCTCTGATTTGTTCATTGGAATTTAGGGTTTTGCTAATAGGCTTAGGCTACTTTGGAATTTTTTATGGGTTTGGGATCTTCTTTGAAAAGTTGTGTCCTTTTGGTTTCTGTTGTTAGGTTTAGAGGTCAATGTATGATCTTGATAAGAGATGTTAGGGTTTCTCCAAAAATGGTGCTTATTGTCCATAGCCATTTTATGTATCGATTTATACCCGATTCAAACGTCTCTGAGTTTACCCTTTCTTTGTGCATTGTATTTGTGTTTCAGTTTCTTGTGATTTTCTTTCAGGTTTCAATTGAGTAGTTCTAATTTTCTTAGGGCTTAGCGTTTTGGTTTAGTAGTTTGCGTTGTTGGGTTAGGTCAATGTGTGATCTTGAAAAGAGATGTTTGGATTCTTCTTCATACATTCCTATTAGCGTAAGATTAAAGAGTAGGAAAATCTGGTTGCAGGTGATGGATAAGCACTTGAGTATATTGGCAAAGGAACACATTGAGACACGTTTCGTGAAGATCCAAGCTGAGAAAAGTCCATTCTTGGCTGAGAGGCTCAAGATTGTTGTTCTTCCGACACTTGCCCTCATCAAGAACACTAAAGTGGATGATTATGTGGTATGATCATAATAAACTAGAATAATCCAATCTTGGTGTCTCTTAGAATATGATGATGATTTTAATAACTGGTTGTTGTTGATAGGTTGGGTTCAATGAGCTGGGAGGGAAAGACGATTTCAGCACGGAGGATCTGGAAGAGAGGTTAGGTAGAGCTCAAGTGATACATTACGAGGGAGAATCATCTCTTAAACCGAAGTCTACTACACAAACTAGGAGGAGCGTAAGGCAGAGTGCAGTTTCAGATTCTGACTCGGAATAAATCCTAACAAAGGTTGCCTCATGATCCAGACTATCTTAAGTCTTGTTTTTGTTTGTGTATTTGCGATGCAAAAGAGGAATATCAGCGAGCTTGCTTGTGACTTGTATCATGCGAATGAAGTTGTAAACGCGATTGTAGATTGCGAGACTGATCTGAGTTTGGTTTTAAAAGATCTGATTATAAGAAAGTCGACTTGATTTTTAAAATGATTTGCTCAAAGCTATGAATGAAGAAAACATTGAAATTTACCAAAGATCGTCTCAAATTTCTATAGATGCACAAACTTCATTCCTCACAACAGATTGATTTACAATAAGAACAAGCAGCAGCTGAAAGGCTGAAGCTGACCCGAAAGTATCAAATGTTACAATCTCAAATTCAAAAACAAATATATAAGACAAAGGCTTTAAGCTATCTATATGACTAAATGATCAGATCCGAATACAAACCAATTAGCTTTTCTACAAAGAATCCAGCTTTGAATCGGGTTCACGCACCATTTATCATAAGAGATTGAAAAGGAACTTTTTTTATCTCCACAAATGTCGAGTAATCGGTGTTCATCGGTTGCTTCCATGGCTCGCCATCCATTTGCAAGAATGCATCTTTCCAATCACCGCCTCTTAGCTCAAATCTAACCGCAGCAGCCTTAATTGATCACCAAAACGGAACATTTTCAGTACAAAACTATGGGTATGTGATTCTTCATTTACCGGTGTTTTTTAAGTTACCTGAGCTATGTGCTTGGCAGAGATGAGCTCAGCCATGACAAATGACGCGTGCCATCCTTGCTTGAACCCGAAAATCTCTATCAAACCATCATCACAATGTGCTTCCACAAATCCTCTCTGGGAAAAACCGAAAACCATTCGGTTAATATTAAAGATTGAGTACATTTATGATGAATGAAACAGAAACAATACCTTCTCTAGATAATCCGGTTTTAAATGACCCCACGGATGACTTCCGCTTCCATAGCTTTGGAGATTCAATGCGACAACTGATCTCACACTACAAGAGAAATCCATGCATCAGGTTTAAGCATTAAAGATCATAGATTGTAATAAGTGAAGCACATATTGAAAGCTGTTTTATACTTTTTCGGGACTGCGATTTCTTCCCATTGAGAACAGTTAACCTTTTTGATGTGGATTTTCAATATGTTCCTAAGTCCCCTGCAAATCCAAATACCGCAAACAACATGTCAATAACACAACAAGGAGCTAGGCAGAGACTTGCACATAAGTTTTAAGTACACAATCAGAAGCGGAAATAGCGAACCTTAAACCTGGATCATTGACACAAGGCGTGCAAAACCAACCTTGAGTGCAACCAAACCCCGAATAAATAATCTGTAAAAGCAAATGTTGTGTGGTTAATAATCTCCTTTCTCAAACCGAACATAGCCAAATAAAGACATTCAAGTTTGGCTGAAGATATAAACAAACCTTGTTTGAAATAGGGCCTTGAGCAAGATATGGTTTAGTGTTGCGGAGATGATGGAAACCATAAGCAACTTGAGCATCCATACCTAAATAAACCCGACAAACACCGAAAACCTGGTTAAAAAGATTGTTGTACAAGTCTGTTAGGAAATCAAAAGAGAAGAAGGTGCATCAAACCTATGCTTAAGTAATTGTAGAACACGCCTTCATAGGTCTTTGCCATTGGAGGTGCGTCTATTCCCGTGTCCAAACCCTGAAACCACAAGAAAGTCTGGTTAATTGCTAGACTACGGCAATCTACAGAAAAGCAGATGATGATGATTCAACGAGAAGAACCAATCCTAAGGGAACAGAGCCAAACCTGATCAAGTTCATTTTCCTCAGCTGGTTTTAAAGAATACGGAGGATCCACGACTTCTCCAGTTGGCATTGACACTAAAATCTTCCAGCTGCAACCAAAGCACACATTTTTACGACACGACAAATAGAATGCAAGGTAATTGTTTTTAGGCAAATAAGGCTCTTTACCTGTCTAGTCGAGCAACTGGACCCATACTTGCGCGATGAAGTGTTCTTTTAACAGCGGATCTCCACGCAAAAGGGAACGAACCACCCTGAAGAAAAACAAACAAACGAAAAAACTTCAATTTCACAATTCAAGAGACTTGTTGATGACAAAATAACATATAAGAGAAGAATGACTCACTCACCCAACCAAAACTCCTTGAGAGATCATTTCCTGTACCGAGAGGGATAACGCCAACAGGAGGAATCGATTTCCCTTCTTTGTTAAGCTCTCCAAGACATCCAAGAACCCAACCAACCGTACCATCACCACCTGCAACCTATTGAACCAATTCCATTTCACATTCTAATTGCTAAAAAAAAAAGTAAGAGAAAATGAGATTTGAGTAGCATTGTTTGTACTCACCATAATCCGTAACCTTGCTCTGCATTCTTTTGCACATTCATCTCCTTCCGCAACAAATGTCTCCAAACACCCCAACCCGTATCGAACAAACTCATGAGGCTTCACTTCAGTCAGATCAAACACCTGTTTTTACAGAATCACCATCAAAAATTCCAATATCAAAACCCAATCAAAAAAATCAAAACTTTACACAAAATTCCAAATACAGAAACCCAAAAAGACTCAAAACGTTCAATCTTTGAAGCCAACTCATCATCCCAACCAAACAAAAAAACAACAACTTACCCTACCAAACAACTAGATCTAACATCAACTAAGCATGAACACATAAATCAGACACTTAACTAACATAAGATCTGACCAAACACCCATTAAAGTGATACATCAAATACATCTTTTAAAGATCATGACTTTAAAAAAAAAAAAAATCAAAGCTTTATAATCTAATTCACAAAACAAATCAAAGTTACTTAGTTCACAAGTTTGGTAGTAAAGTAAAAACAAAACCTGTTCTTCGCTCATCAACTGTTGAAGCCTCTCTTTAAGAACAGGACCATGACGACCACCACTTTTTGGATTGATGAAAACAATCATCGGAGCATGAGGAGCCATATCGGCGACGGCTCCACCGGGAAGAAGCAAATGATCAGGAATCGCCGTCGAATCTTTCCGTTTAATACAGTCACGCATAGCGACACGGAGATATTCAGGCATCATCAACCTCTGACGTAGCTCTTCCTTGTCTACACCAACCCATGTCAGATTAGCCAAACCACAACCTCTCTTCGCCGGAGAATCTGTCGTTGATGGTCGTGAAGCCACGAATTTCTCCGTCGGTGTTTCCATTACTCTCACCGGAGAAATAAATAAAATGACAACTTTTCGTTCTGTGATTGGAGGAAATGAGGAATATTCGAAACCCAAGAAATCAAAAATTGGAGTTTGAAACAAAATTAAAAATTGGAATTTGACGATTGGG